GGAGCTAAATTGAAAAGGGGCATCACATAAAACACACAGGGGATCAATACACAGCCAGAGAGTTAGAACATCTGCTTAGAAAAATGTCTGTCTACTCCCTGGTTTATTTAAAGTGCACCATCTCACCTTCTTAACTTTTGAGAAGGAGGCAATTCAATTTGCCCAGATGGACTTGAGAGTTAAACAGAGAAAAACATCATATACCTAATCATCTGTATAGAAAAATGAGGAGATGGCATTGATATGGCCTCTGATTTCCTAATTTGGGAATTGATGGCCTAAATCAATCAGGTCACATCCAGCAAGGGCTGCTGGCAGATCAGGAAGGGAAATGGGTATTGAGGCTGACTCAAATCCTCTTCAATCACAGAAAAACATGCCACATAATCTCTAAATAAGCATAAATTACATTTTTTTAGCCTTCCTTTCCACCTCTGTACAGCTGAGCGATGCTGCAGAGCCCCACCTGGGCAGCCAAAAGTCTTCTGACTTTTCTGACAGAAGCTGGGCAGAGTCACAGAATAAAGCAGGGATTTATTAAAGGATCTCCTCCATGGATCCACCTTGGGCAGCACCAGAGCCCAGCCAGGGCTGCACCCAAATGAACCAAAATGGCCCCAAAATGCACGAGTGCTCCCGGGGCTCTCCCTGGGATCAGTTCTGCTCCATTGGCATCTTGGAGTTCATTGTCCCATTCCAGCTTTAGCCCAGGCAGTCCCACCCTGCTTGTTTTTCTCTCTCCAGCCCACGGTGTTTGTGCTCCTGGGCTGAGATTTGGGTCATTTGTCCTTGGTGCCACTTAAAGTATGAAGGCAAAGCAGATCTGATTTCCAAACCCATCTCCAGTGGTGCCCAGTGTTTGAGGAGAACCAGGAGTCACTCCCTGCCTCCTCTGCTGTGCAAACATAAATTAAGCAGCCAGAAATGCAAAGTGCTGCAGAGCTGACCAAAATATTAATTAATTAATTGTGGGGCCACAGCAGATGAATCATTTCCCAGCTTCCTGCTCACATCAAAGTGCAGAGGGAGTTACACAGAAGCAGAAAAAAAGAAAAAAGAACCACACTGAACAAATTGAACTGCGGCCTCGTTTAGAGGAGACCATAATTTAATATGTACAACAGGGCTCCCAGCTTTAATTATTTATATTCAGACATGAAATTAGCTGAATTTCTCTGGTACGAAACCTGCAGCTGCTTGGAGAGCAGCATGAATTCAAATCCTCATCTCTCTGTGAATTCTGAGGTTTGATTTTTAACAGAGTTGGGTGCCCGATTTCACTGGAATGTATTGATATAAATGATGGGGGGTTTGCCTCACAGTGGGAAACATTTGACTCTGTATTGCATTTTTTCCCTCCCCTGAGTTGCACAGTTGTGCTCTAAACACTCTGGTCTGAAGCACTGCTGGGGTATTGCTGTGATGGGTCAGCATGAGATCAAGGGACAGAGAATGCCTGGAAAGGCGTTTCTGAGAATATTTTCCTGTTAAAAAGTTTTGGGGAAAACCCCAAAACCACCACTAAAAAAAAAAAACAACCAAAAAACCAAAAAACCAACTACCACAAAAAAACCAAACCAACCAAACAAACAAAAAACCCAGACAACCAAACAAAAACCCCAAAATGAAGCAAAACAAAAAACCCAAACAAAACCAAACCAAAACAACAAAACCTAACCAAACCAAACTCCAGGACAAATTAATCTCTTAAAGCTCCTGTATTTGTGTGGTGCTTGCAGCTGGAAGTGGCTGGTCAGGATTCAGGGCAGGATCTGCCATGGGTCAGTGGGTGTTGAACAGTTTTATTGTGCATCACTTGGTTTTTTACTTTATATTATTATTCACTAGTATTATTATAAAGTAACTAATACTGTTATTTACTTTATATTGTTTATTATATTATTATTATGTTTATTATTATATTTTTTATTATATTTTATTTTATTTCAATTATTAAATTGTTCCTGTCTCAACCTGCAAGTTTTAATTTTGGTTCTCCCCATTGCACTGGGGTGGAGGCAGGTGAGTGAGAAGCTGGGTGGGACCAAGCTGGGCTTAACCCACAGCACAGCCAGAAGGTGAATGGTTAAATCCCACCATAAAATATGCATATGGACACTCAGACATTAATGTGTCTGTGCCACTGCAGCTCATTAACATGCAAATACGACTTCAGCAGAGAAACTCTCTGCTGCAGGAGGTTAATGAGGCAGAGGATGGCACAGAAGTCCCAGAAACACAGAAAATTCAACTTCCAGACTTGTGCAGAGCATTGCAGGCACACAAAGTCACATCTCCCTTTGGCTCACCCCGTGCAACCAATCCTTTTGTTTCCACTGATGCCTCAAGTTTGAGCTTTCATATTTCCCAGTTCTGCACTGCACTGGTGTGACTGAACTCCAGATAAAGTGCCAGCAGCTCTCCTCACAGCTCAGCACACAGAACAATCCTTTTCCAGCCCAGAACCAGCTCAGCACACAGAACAATCCTTTTCCAGCCCAGAACCAGCTCAGGCACACAGAACAATCCTTTTCCAGCCCAGAACCAGCTCAGGCACACTGAACAATCCTTTTCCAGCCCAGAACCAGCTCAGGCACACTGAACAATCCTTTTCCAGCCCAGAACCAGCTCAGGCACACTGAACAATCCTTTTCCAGCCTAGAACCAAGGACACCGCTGCAGCTTCAGCCCAAAAAGTCCATTTTCAGGTGGAAGAATTGAGCTTAACTCTCCTAGTCCACAAGACACTGTGGAGGGTTGGTAGACAACTTTCTGCAGACTACTTTTTTTTTACTATTTTATAACTCAGTTATTAATATTTTTCTTTCACAAGGGTGGAAAATGGTTTGCTCAACATGAAAACGCAAATTTCCCCCTTAACTTCAGAATATTGAACAGCCACCTGTGCGTGTGTTCATAACACCAGAGCACGACACAAAACACTCCCACGGCTCTGGGAAGCAATCCAAGTGCATCCCTTAAAAAGAGCCCAAATGAGGGAGCCCTGCTCACGGCAACACCAAAATTCCCACAGCACAAGCACTTCCCTGCCTCCAGCCAGCTCAGACAATGCTGCAGGCAGCCACAGAAAATTCCAGATTTAAAACCTGCCCAAAGAAGCCGGCCCAGAGCACGTCCTGCAGCCAAAAGAAACCATTTCCTCACTCAGCACCTGCTCTAAAACTCACACAAAACTTCTGGCACTGCTCCCCCCACACATCTGTTAAATCTCCCTCAGCAGGACAGAGAATCTGAGACCTGAGGAAATGCAGTGCACTGCATTTATATAATAAATAGAGTTAAATAAATATAAAAATAAAGAGTGGGGAAAATGCTGCTGCAGAATAATGGGGGGAAGCCAGTGCTGCAGAGATGTATTTTCATTAAACACTGATCAAGGCAACCCCCCCAAACACATCCCCCTGAAACTTTATTTTGCTGACCCTACGCAGTTTGCAATAGGTATTTCAAGTAGAGAAATTACAGTAAAAATATTTTCCATGCTTTGTTTTTCCCACTCTTTTATTTATTTGCTTGAAATAAAAGCTCATTCTCGCTGTGTTCCCCCAGCCCAGCTTCCCTGGGGTTGCAATTCCCAAAACACGTGGGGGCTCTGCATTGCAGAATCTCTCTGCATCCAATTTTCTGCCAGCTCAGAAACTGTCAAAGCACATTTAGAAAGACTTGGAACCAAATTTCAAAAATAGGTACCCCTAAGTACCGGAAAAAAAAGTCGCTTTGTGTTCAGTAGAGCTAAGCAGAAAAAAAAGTGAGCACTGCTCTAAGTACTTTGTTATTATCTAAAATGCTGGAAAGGTAACCTGACAGTGAACACAAAGAAAAGGGGAGAAATCAAGCTAATAAATAAGGCAGTAAAACAGTCTGAGCGAGCAGCAGGTAAATTAGAGCAATCCAGGCTAACACCAGGGTGACACAAACATTAATTAAAGGCTGACACCCTTCCCCAGAAAAAAACACATGTGAGAGAATAATCATGGCAGTGTAAGGAGGGATTAATCAAGGATTTGGCAGAGAGAGAGACTCAGGACAGCCCTGGGCAGTCCTGGTGTGCTCCAGGACAGGGGATCCTACAACCACTGACCAGGCAGGATTTGGAACCAGCTCTGCTGAACCTCTGCAAACCCAAAATGCTCTCAAGAACTGTTTCAGCTCCAGGAAAAAGGCACATCCCTCAAAAATCTCTGGGAATTTCTCCAGGAATGCTCTGAACATCGCAGCTTGGGCTAGAAAGGTTAAACAAGGGCACTTGCAGGAGATGGTTGTATGGCTGGAATATGTTATTCTAATTATTTGTTAAATGGAGCGAGGGCTCAGCTGTACCACAACACCACTTTAATGGGATTTAAAGCTCCACTCCACGAAGGTTTAATTGAGCAGGGAAAGCTTAACATGGAATGAGGGAAAACAACTTCCACCACCAGCAGCTTTGAAGAGGAAAGGAGCAGGGCAGACCTCTGAGAAACTCTGCTTGGGAGACACAGACTAAGAGCAGAACGAGTTTCACTTTGATGAGTTCAGTAACAATGGCCACGAGCAGGGGTTGATGTGGGCATTTCATCCCTGGCACATGAACCATGGGGCAGCAGTGGGAAAAGCAGGGATTGATGTGGGCATTTCATCCCTGGCACATGAACCACGGGTACTGTGGTATCAGTGGGAAAATCAGGGATTGATGTGGGCATTTCATTAGTAACAATGGCCACAAACAGGGATTGATGTGGGCATTTTATCCCTGGCACATGAACCACGGGGCACCAGTGGGAAAAACAGGGATTGATGTGGGCATTTCATCATAACAATGGCCACAAACAGGGGTTGATGTGGGCATTTCATCCCTGGCACATGAACACGGGGCACCAGTGGGAAAAGCAGGGATTGATGTGAGCAGTTCATCCCTGGCACATGAACCACGGGGCACCTTGGCATCAGTGGGAAAGGCAGGGGTGTGTAAATTCCAAAATATGAAGAGGGCACCTCACCTGCCAGGCACAGCAGGACCGAGTGCAGCACCAGCAGCTCCCATAGCAACCTCATCTTCAGCTCCAGGGGCAGAGACCAGCCCAGGGACTGCAGAGCAGAACGGGGCTCCTTGGAGACCTCAGGCCAGCTTCAATCTGTAAAACAAAACACATTGCAAGGACGTTTAGGGTTGCTGCTCCTGACAGCTTGTTCTTCCTTTCCAGGAGAGATGTATCTGAGGATCAGCAAAGAAACTTCTGTAAATATTGACTTTCAAATCATTCCCAGCAGTGATTTGTGACCATTTCGGGCGTCTGGGTGGCAGGTGAGGATTAAGAGTTGTAACCTGGAGCTGTGGAACTTCTGCTGTCTCCTAATTTTGCCCTCAGGAAATTCACTCCCTGCCTCCCTGGGGTGAGCTGGTGTAACGAGTGAACTCTGTAGATTAAAACGAAAATTAGAATAATTCTCTACTCTGTAACTTTTCTGTGCAAGCACCATCCAGCACACAAAGGACACCATCTCTGCAAGGCAACACTTTGCAGGAAAGCTTCCCACACTGCTCAAGGAAGGGGATTTTTTCCCCATTCCACCTCCACCCTCACGGCTCTAAAATTCTGTTTAAAAATCCACCTTACAACATCTGCAGGTAAAACCTGATCTTCCCCTCGCCCCCTATTACAACCTGTAAATAATTACAATTTGAGAACAATTTGAGACTTCCTCAGCTGATCACTGCAAACTTCCACCATCCCCCTCCAAGCAACCCAAGGGGGAAAAAAACCGCCTTCATTTATGAAAGGAACCACTCCAGAGCAGGCATTTAAATATTAAAAATAAATAAATCAGGCCAGACACACATTCTTATAATTTATTCATCTCGGTGAGGACTGGAAGTTCAGGGGCCTTCGTGCTTACAAGACAAACTGTGTGAGTAATAACAAGAGAGGTCTCTGCCTGCTTTTGTGAGCTAAAATTGGGAGAATTCTTTTAATAAAATCAGGTTCAATGCACTGGGAAGGTTGAGGATCTTTAGCCTCTGATCTGAAGATGCAGCTTTGAAGCAGGAAGAGATTAATTGCATAAATTTGTCTATTCTCACACAAACTGATGGGGCGTGCTGGGGGCAGCAGGAATGGCCAATCAATGAATACTAAACTATTTAAGGCAATGATTAGAGTATTAATTATTAATTTTGGAAGGAAAATGTCCATATTGATTGACATGGTGAAGAAGTTACACTGTTTATAGTGAACTCCAGAAATGGTTTTTTTTTCACCCTAAAGAGTCTCGACCTGTGGAAAAATATTAATTTTCTTCCAAGTACCAAATTCTCTTGATTATAACAGCAGCTACACAAGAGATTTCTACTAATTTTACACCAATTGAAATGAAATTTGAGATAAATCTTGGATTTCAGCAGCTGCTGAAAATCTTCCCTGTTCTTGTTTTCCCACTAATCATCCCCATCAATAAACCCCTACAAATTTTCTCTTCCTTACCCTGCCCGGAAATGCTTTGCAATTATTTCCCTCTCTCCCTGCAATGAGCAGAGCAATCACTCAAAGTATTTGATACCTCATTAAAAACACAAGAGGTTGATAAGCATTTATCAGCTTAACCTACTGCCAGGAGCTCCTGGGAATCACCCATGGACAGGGAGCTGCTAAAATGCACAAAGGACTCACAAAAAAAACCCCCATTCCCTTCTTTTCCATAAATTAAAAAAAAAAAATCCTGGGTAGTCTTGAATTTATTACCCCTCCTCACTGTAACTTCAGCTCTTGCCACAGCTGCCCTGACCCAGCTGTGGGAAACAGATTCCCTGATCCATTTGGGGAAAGTTCTGGCTGCTGTGAGGGTTTGCAAACTCATTTTGGTTTTTTTTTCTACTCAGGAAATAATTCTCTCAACATTTTAAACACTGATACAAAGCATTTTGAAGTGACTAATGTAAATTAGCTTCTAGCTTACAAAGATATTGAAAGTAGCAAGCTCTGTCCTTCCTTCCATCGAGTTTTGACACAATCACTGGTTCTCAATTCCAGCCGAAAACAAAAGTTATGCTAAAAATATAGAATTGCAGAATGGTTTGGGTTGGAAAGGATCTAAAATCCCACCCAGTGCCACCCCTGCCATGGCAGGGACACCTCCCACTGTCCCAGGTGCTCCAGCCCCAGTGTCCAACCTGGCCTGGGGCACTGCCAGGGATCCAGGGGCAGCCACAGCTTCTCTGGGCAATAAATATATTTTAAGTCCAGTGAAAAAGCTGAAATTTCCTATTATTCAGTTATTCAGCAGCTGCTCCAGAGAATCAGCAGACACCAGAGGTGCACGTGCCTCAAAGCAAAGTTTCCACTCCCTGATGTCTGCACAGGGCAATGCAGGACAGAAAGTTCCTCCCAAAGAGAAACGATGCCTGTCATGGCATAAACAGCTCTGAAAAGCAAATTAGATGATTACCACTCAAAATATTTTTCTAAGGTTAAATGATGGTGGCTCTCAAGCCATGGCCGCAATTCCATTTCTCGTGATAGTTCCCTATTTCACATGTGAATGACTCCAATTCTCCAAATGTTTCCCTGTAAATATTTCTGCTGTTCACATCAGCAGGGCCTTTGTTCAGAGCTCTGCAAGAACTGTTCAAACACATCGACTTTTTATGGCAGCAGCTTTAGGAAAAGCAACATTTGTGCGCGAGCAAAAGGTGCATAATTGAAAAGATCCTTCCCATCCCTAAATGTTTCCTGACTGCAAAATCCCAGGGGACTTTGTGCTGCTGCTGAAGACCTGAAAACTCACAAAGTTTAATATTTCAGTTCCAGAAGGAAGCAGAGGCAGTTTCAGCAGAACACAGGTTATTTTTTTGAGATGAAAATGAGATTGCTGAGCTTCAGTCTGGAAGCGCAGCCCATTAGAAACCCCAGTGCCACCACACGTGTGCAGATGTCTTTTTAACTTCACTTCTGGCAATGCAGCCATTGCAAATTCTTTTGAAAGGCACCTTTGCTCCTAATTGGATTCTGCCAAAGAAACTTGACTCCAAGAGCTCTGACTGCAGTTAGGTAGGATGGGGGGGAAAAAAGCGTGGAGTAGAAATATTTGTGGTGGATTTTTCTGCATTTGTGAGCATGGCTGTGTGAGTAATTTTGCTTGGATGTTTCATGATTAGCACTTATGTAAGAGCAAAATAGAAATTAAAATCCTGAGGCTGATATATGTATGGGTGCATTCGGAGCGTGAAAAATACTTTTTAAGATAAATTTGCACCACGTGACCTCTCAGTTTTGTGAATATTCTGAAGGAAAACCTGCAGAACACACCTGAGGTTGATGCCTTAGGATTTCAGCTTTGATATTTTCCATCTCTCTGTAACCCTGCGGTTCTTCAGTGTGTAACTCCAAACTCCACACGCAGTGTGAGCTGCTGCTTCCCCATTTGGGCAGACACAACAATTCCTCTCCAGGCCTGGCAATCAAGGACACCTCAGTGCCTCAGGCCAGAGAGATGGGAACAAAAGTGAGTTGGGGGAGCAAACTTGGGGTCAGTGACTTCATCACCTGCAGCTGGAATTGGCAGATTCACCCCCAATATGCAAATGGACCAAACTTATCAAAGTGTGAAAATCTGTGACCCATCATCCATTTTTGGGTGTAGCCCCTGGGGGGTTTCATCTTCCCTAAATGTACCTGGAGGCCCTTCAATAAATAGAACAGCTTCTTATTCTTTTCATTCTGTTTGACCTCTGTTTTTAGATAATCCCAAAAAGGCATCAAGACCCCTGTGAAAAATGCATATTTTATGATTGGCTTTTTGCAAATGTTACAATGAATATTATATGTGTAACATTAGAAAGTTATACTGTATTAATTCTCTTATGTAATGTGTTAAATATAGTTTTAGGTTCCAACATAATGTTAAAATAGAGACTATGTATGTGGGGGGGAGTTTTTTTTTTAGGAATGAGATACTCGCTTTGAGGAGCACAAAAATCTTCCAAAGGGGAGGAATTTATGGCTTATCAGAAGAAACTAATTTATTCAGGCCTGGCTCAGACTCGAGCATGGGGATTAAAAGAAACAGTTGACATACAACAGAGTTTCCTGTTTTAAATAGAATGTATGCATAACCATGAAGGATGTATGAATATGCAACAGGTGTATTGGTTTAAGAGTGATTCCTCTGTTCACAAGTCATGCTTTTCATGACTGAGTGTCCGAGAGCATCCAAACGTCCGTAATTCTTTGCTTTTTATTGTCTTGTAATTGTCCTAACTCTAAACTTTATTACTCTAATTGTATTAACCATTTTATTATTCTTAAACTTTTAAAATTTTAGAAACCAAGCGATTGGGGTTTCTCACAACCCCTGCAGAGCAGCATGGAGCAGCATGGAGCAGCAAGGAGCATCCTTAGCACTCAGCTCACATTTTGCTGCTGCCCACTGGTGTGCCGCAGCCCTGCTCAGCTCCCAAATAAATCAGCGCTAATGAAGCGTGTGCTGCACACACAGACAGCACCAGGCATCTTTTAATCACCTCGGCCGAGGAGGAGCTGAGGGGAAGCACAAAGCTCTCAGCACTAATGGGGGACTTGTTAGGCTGGAGGTGACGCGGCCCTGGGGCTGCCACAGGAGTGACCTGAGGGCAGGAGCAGGGAATTCACTGCTTCCCTCCACGCTGACATTAATTCACGCTGCCAAAGCCTCCTCGGTGGCACCCACCTTTTGAAACAGGAGTGGAGACTCATAAAAATAATCTTCAGGCCTGGCTGCAGAAGGGAGAGCAGCTTTCTAACCCAGACCAGGCCTGTGGCAGGAGAGGCCCAGGCTCTCCCCAGCACCTGCGATCAGTGACCCTCAAAGCTGAGCAGCCAAAAATAGAAAATTGCCTGAAAGACGTGTCCCCAGAATTGCAAATCTCACAGCAATACTTCTTTGATGTATACACATTGATTTTTTTTCAGCACTCAAAAAAAATTTTTCTTGGTGCCGCTGTCGAGGCAGGACGGGAATGAGAAGAATCTGACCAGAAGCTGCTGAGAGTAAAACTCCGATTTATTCAAAATACACTGCTCTTTTATACAGAGCTTCGCAAGGACCAAATCCATTGGTTCTGAACTGAAAACAGCTTACACCATTGGTGCAGAGTGCTTGA